GTGAGAGGAATTGTTTTGAACCTTAGGTTTCTCATGTATCCATCCCTATCCTAAAGTCAGGTTTAATCATTTCATTTATATCCCTCCAAAACTTTGTGCAGCTAGTATGTCTCTTATTTACATTTCTTCTTGTGAAGTAGAGTGATCACTTGTATCTTCCTAAAGGAGGGGGCATGTGATAGTCTTGTGATAGGCTGACATATAGTCAGTGTTTACCCTGATTATTATATACCAATGTTAATTTAAAATAACTACAGTCAGCTTTCCATATCCATGAATTTAGTTAGCATCCATGGATTCAACCAAAATCAGATTGAAAGTAATTGAAAATATTTCATCTGTAATGAACAAGTACAGATTTGTTTTTTCTTACCTTTCTTCCCTAAGTGATACCGTGTAGCATCTGATTACGTAGCATTTACATTGTATTGGATATTTAAATAATCTAGAGACGATTTAAGGTACACAGAAAGATGTGCACGGGTTTATTTTTCTGTAAGGGACTTGAGCAGTTTTGGGTTATCGGTAGGGGATCCTGGAGCCAAATCCCATGAACACCATGACAGGAATATATATCATTATACTAAAATTTTATCTGGCCATCTAGTATAAAAATTATATTACCTAAAGTTTTACCAAAGCAATTATGTGGTATGTATTATTCTCCAGTAACTAAAGCATAGTATCAGTTAATAAGTGGTTGTCACTCCAGAACTTGTGTTCCTACTACTGATAGCTTTATTCCTCTTAAGAATCAAAGTAAACCAAAGTTCCAACATTCTGCTCATTCTTGAGTTTTATTAATTGCAGTTCTGTACTTGGAAGCAACCAAAAAGAGCCATTTTGTCTACCAATAGTGGACTGGTTAAAATAAATTAATAAATAAAATGGTTCTTTCTTACCATTCATACCTACAGAGGATGGCTCTGTAGCTAGTTAAAAGACTTGTGAAGATGTTCAAGATACATTACTATGGGGAAAACAGCACAAAACAGTCTATAACCTACAAGCACTTGTGTAAAACAAAAACACATGCCCATCTATCACAGCTGGCACCGGGAGCTTCCTCTAGGAGGTAGGAAGGCCAAGGGACTGAAGTGTAAGGAAGCTTTATTTTTTTATTGTATATTCCTTCTATTCTTTTTTGAAATGTGTATCTGTATCAGCTGGTCTATAAATAAATAGAGCAAGAAAATTTCTCCTTAGGTGAGTTTTATATCATTCATTAAAGCCAAATTTGATTAAGACAGTAAATAATGAAATACCCTTTTAAACATTTAATATTTCCTTGAACCAAGCCAAGTAAATGGAAGTTTTAAGAGAAAGCAGAGGGACCAGAAAATCCCATCAGACCGTAAGTATTGAGGGGGAAGGGTCCTATCTCCAGGTTCTGCCATGAGGTCAGGCAATCCATGCAGCCCCACTGACCTTACTTACACCTCCTCCAGCTCCAGGGTTGGGCCGTGATTCATGCTCTGATGTGTCCTAGTCACTTCTTGGTCCTGAATCATCAGGAAAAGGTTTATAGAAGCCAGACATTTCAGAGAGAGTTTTAGGACCTTGGATTGAAATAAACATTGGAGGGTGTTGGGGAAGTAAATTGAGGGCATGATGTAGGAACTACATAACTGTAAATAGTGAAAAGATTTCATCACACCCTATCTTTAATCCCTGAAGTTTCTGTATTCATGAAGAGTGCTAAACATCCCGAGTGGCCTTTTCCCTCAGTGCTGCAGCTGTGCTATTTTTGACCAGTCTCTATTTTAGTCTGGCAAGAAGCTTTTTGAGTCTTGGAGTGAGTTTGGCCTCTATTGCCTTCTGAGGATCATGTTCTCTTTTCAACAGGGGAGAGTCTGAGCAGCGAGGAAGAGCAGCAATGGTAGAGACTTACATTGGTCCAGCAGTTCTTTTTAAGTAGAAATGATCTAGAAATAAGGTAGTCATGCAGCTCCTCTCCTTTAGGCTACAACTGTCCTCTTCATAAATCAGGCAGGTCTGTTAGGATTAGAGCTTGCTATTTCTACTGAGCCTGCTGACAGGAGACCACTTGTGGAAACATACAGTGCCCCGTGAAACTTTAGCCATGGTCCACTATTCCTACATGTTCCACCTCCAGCAGTCTGTCAGGATTTGAAATGTTATTTTACCTCTTTTCCCTGTTCACTTATTTCTGTGAAATTAGGTGGAGCAATTTGTCACATGTACAGTAGGGCTGGCCTGAGACCAGGTTCCTCAGCCAAAGTTCCCTTGTGGGGAAGCCCATACTCTTTGTTTTAGGTTCAAAATCAAGTCAGATCCTAAGGAGGCAAAAAACCAACTGCAATATTACCTAAGGGATTATGAACTTTCCGGCATGCTCCATGCCTGTTGGCCTATTAGCTTATTGCTCTTCTCTGATTTGCAGTCACACTTTGTTCATTTTTTGGCTGTACCTCTTTGGCTGAGTGCCTTCAGGCTAGTTGCTAAAACCCATTTAGAGAATTTAGAGAAGAGTAGTAGAAGAGTAGTAGGCCCTGGTACCTAACTCACAGTTGTTATGATGATGAAATTCCATAATAAGTTTTGCTATAGTTACAAAGAAATAGAGGGTAGTATTTAAGAACCTAGACTTGGGGCTAGAGTCCCTAGGCCATGGCCACTTACTGTTGGTGACCTGGGTCAGATTATTTAACATGTCAATGTTCTGGTTTCTTCGTTGGTCCTATGGAAATGTTCCTGGGAGTTACTTTTTTTCTTCTCTCTCTCAATTTTATTTTATTAGTATTGTATATGTTTGCAGTCCATAGAAAATATTTTCATCTTGGGGAAATTGGTACTTGTACATATCACATCTTGATCCTTTTTACTTCCCCTTTCCCTCCCCACCCCATCTCCTTCATCCCCAAGTCCCCTTCCCTTCCTTTCAAAGTCTGTTTCATTAATATCCACTCTTATCTTTATAATTTCTTTTCTTCTATTAGTTTGTTTGAATTGATCTTGAGATGCATCATTAAGGTTATTTATTTGGGATTGCTCTATCATTTTTATGTGTGTTTACAAACTTTCATCTTAGGAGTACTTTCATTGTGTCCTGGGACTTAACTTCTGTAAGGGTCTGAAGATGAGTTAATGCTGTAAGTCCCTGACTTACAAACAAGTTCCATTCTGAAAGAATATTAATAAGTAGGATTCATTTGTATCTGGCAGAGTGAGTCTTATACAGTATACCTGTGAAAGTTTGCAACTTAAATGTTTGTATGTTGGGGACATACTGCACACTGAAAAACTCTGCCTGCCACATACTAAGTCATTAATAAGTTACCTTCTGCTATTATTATTATGACCATTCTCTGTGTTTTAGAATAAATATAAGAAGAGTTCTTGCACAGGCTGCTGTGTTGGCAGCAGGCCCCTAACTTTAGCTTTAGTTGCTCTGATAAAACCTAAAGACCTTTTCTAGTAATGACTATACTGAGGGCACTACAACAGTTTATTGGTTGAGATTAAGACTGATGGAGGGTTTTGAGTATTTGAGAACCATGATGGCAAAGGGATCACAGCAGGATTGGGAGAGATAAAAAGTGAAGTAAAAACAACCTGTTTAGGGGGTAGTCAGATAAGAGACTGTTAAAGTAATTAATTGCCTATTTCAACACACAAACAAGGGCTCCTTAAGTGGAGAAAGAACTTGCCACATGATACTGATCTGCTTTCTCTCTGCCAGATGCTTCAGTCACGAAGCTATTGAAACAGGCACTCTCTGTCCCACAGCCCGATAATTGCCAAGCTTCATCCCTAACTGGCTTTGGCACTGAAGAAAGCAAATGGGATAATTCTCGGCTGTTTCTTTCTTTTTTTCTCTCTTTCTCTTATTCATTTCTTTAAAAGATGGCAGACAACCAGATTACTCTGTTCAGGCAAATGCTAGCTGTATACTTGTCTGAATACAGCTGTCGTCTCAGTGGCCTTGTCTTTAAACAGTAATAAGATGTTCTATGTAGGATGTACCTCTTTAAAAAATAGATGACAAGATAATCCAGTTTTATCCCTTTGACTTTGCATCTCAAATACAATTTCTTTCCAGCCCATCACCCGGCAGAAAGCCTCAACACTGTGCTTTGGCTTTCTTACGGCTCCCTGGGCTCATATTGCAAGTCTGATTTTGGATCTTCTTCCCAGATTTGGAAATACATGTCCATGTAAGGAGACCAGATTGCACAGCCTCGGGGGGCAGGCCAAGCAAGCTATGTTTTGGTTTGTGGGCCTTCCCTTCCATTAAGTGATATTAACTATGGAAATACAAATTTAGAGTGTTTGAGTGGAAGGGAGTTTGGAGAGAAATTTGTCTGTAGAGGATTTTCAGAATGTTTGTGCAGAAGTGTGTATATATTTGTTTCCCTAGAAGACCATCCAGAGGCTTCATCTGAGTCCAGGGAAGCTGGAACCTCAAATGGATGAGTCTCTGAGTCCAAGTCCCTTGTTATTTCACAGATGAGGCATTGAAATAATTGGCCCCATATGTCATAAGCCCCTCAAAACACACAAAGGAGCGAGTGGTCTCCAGATTTTTTTGTGCCATTTGACCTTTGGCCAGGGTAGAGCACTAGAACAACCAAGAGGAGACAATCTTTGCTCCCCGGATCTTTTCCTCACTGCCTCAGCCCATCCGGAGGATTGTTGTTGGTAGTCTTGGGGCCACATTTGACCTGGACCTGCCCCCTGGCCTGTTTTCACTATTCCTTGTCTGTGAGTTCTGATTTTTGAGCTTGATGAGATGCAGATAGGAGATAGGACACATTTCCTCTTTGAATTTCTTTTTTACTATGGGTGTGAAAAATTAGTTTTTTTGTGACCTCACGACTTTTCTGTCTTTAAAAAACACACTTTTATGTTCTTTATCTTTTATCTAACAGTAGAATACTACTGTGGCTAACTCAGCAATGTTTTTCAATTTTTTAAAATACATAAGTGATTTCAAACTGATTTAAATGCTCTAAAATGATTTCTCTTTGTTGTTACAGGTACCTCAATAACAATGAGTTGACAGCAATACCATCCCTGGGTGCTGCTTCAACGCATGTCATCTCTCTCTTTCTGTAAGTGGTACCATCTGAGGACCCTGGAGTGTGTGGTGGGGCTGTGGTGTAATCTTGCTGACAGTTGGTAGCAGGAGAACTTGTGTTCATGTGTTCACTGGTAAAGAATAACCTTTTATTGTGTAGCCCGATGATCATGGCAAGTGCCTTATTTGCTGTTTTGGGGTTTACAGAATTAAAAGCTTTAATTCTCTACCTTTTCTCTAATTTGGGGAAAAAGTCTTTTAACTGCCCAGAGGGGGATAGAGCTAGATTTCTTGTTCTTGGTGATTAAGCTGCAACTTGGGTGAATAAACTGGAATATATGAAGATAGCGAATTATTAAGTGGCAAACTCAATTATTGTGCCACTGAATTTGGTAATGTGGCTCAGTTTCCTTTCATGTCTGTAAAAGTAGAAAGTACCCCAGACCTCTGAAATCAACATAAAAGTGATGAATTAATTGTTATGCTGAAGTGTTGGATGAAACAAAACCTGTGTATTCCTATAGAAAAAGGTTATACAGAGTCTTACCAAAAAAGAAGGAAAGCCACAGGGTATTATCATTTACTTTTTCAAAAACCTTTCCTAAGCTGAGTGTGGTGGCAAATGACTATAATCACAGTAGTCTTGGAAGAGGAGGCAGGAGGATCATAAGTTCCAGCCCAATCTACATGACTTAGTGAGACCTTGTCTTAAAATAAGAAGAGCTGAGGATATAGCTCATTGTGAAGTCCCTGGGTTCATTTCCAAGTACCCCCAGTCTTTCCTAGAGATTAGGCACCTGCCCTTGTCCCATTTCTGGAGCCATGAGGTAGAAGTATCTGTTGGCTTCAGGCTCAGCCAGAGTTCTTTCCAGATGTCCCAGCTCTGTGTCCAGCAGTGTTCTCCACAAGAATTTATTGGCAGTTGCCCCAGCACAGTACCTCCCTCTTCACACTGAATTTCCTGTCTCCACCCCAGCCCTGTGTATTTTTACTTTATTTTCTTTTGCTGGTTTAATAGTTGCTCACCTGTATATATCTTTTTCTCAACACCAGGCCTCAGCAGTCTGAGCCAGAGGGATTTGGCAGAATCAGTAAGATTGCTAGTGTTGCTTGCCAATCTCAGATTTTGGCTGTCTCTTGTCCCTGTGTTCCCTGGGTGCTGTGGGCTAGTAAATCATGTTTTCACACTTAACCCTTTTTAAGGCCTGGTGAGGCTGTAAGAGAGCCTGGGAATTAGAGTTGGGTTTCATTGTTTTCCTGGACAAATGATTAAACTCATTTACAAAATGTGTTCTGACCCATTTTATACATGGGGATAATGAGCTCTCCATGATCCCGGGCTCCAGGGGAGAGAGAATATACTCAAAGCTCTTGATATCATGTGGGGACATCTGCTGAGTGTTTGATATGTGGTGGCTGCTGCTTCTTCCTGGTAGTTAGTTGTTGCCTAGCTCCTTGGGCCATGGGGAAATCTCACCTTTAGGGCTGCAGGGTTTGTGAGTCAGTCCTTATTCCTGGGAAGTGCTGGCATGAAAGCTGTGGCCCTTGATGGAGAGGCAAATGTTTGTTTTTTTGTTTTTTGGAGTTTTTTTTTTGATCCACCTGGCCTGTGTGAACAGCGTCTAGAAGGTGTTTAATTGCTGGCTAAATTAAATGAGCTAGCCTTATGTAAGACTAATTAGGGATGTGGTAATCCTTTGTGTGTTCATAAAGCAGAGCACTTGAAGGTGCTTGTGACTCCTGGCTACTGAAACCCCAAATCACGGACCAGCAGTGTGGTATCAGCTCCAAGCTGGTGAAAAATGCAGAATCGCAGGGCACACCCATCAGGAGCTACATTTAACAAGGTCCTTAGCATCACCCACTCTTTACAGTGTGAGAAGGGCTGGTTTTTTGGGTTTTTTTGGTGCTGGGGATTGAACTCAGGTCCTTGCGCTTGCACAGCAGGAGGCGAAATCACTGAGCTAAATCCCCGGCCCCAGAAGGGCTGGTTTTATTTCTCTTGGTCCTCCCACAGAAAATGCTTTGTATTGCCAGAGAAGAAAGTGCGGCTCTCTGAGGGTCTTTTGAGTTGCAAAACAGTGAGGTGGATCACTCCAGAAAGAATGGCTGCTATCATGAAATCAACCAACTACAAATGCTGGCAGGGCTGTGGGGAAAGAGGAACCCTGCTCCACTGCTGGTGGGAGTGTAGACTGGTGCAACCACTGT